CGGCGTGGGCGGGGCCGGCGCTCTGACAGGCAGCGCTGACGGCCTATCAGGAGCAGCGTGGCTTTTGCCCAAACTCGTGTTCTTCCTGGAAAGAAGGTTGGTACATAAACACAGGCACTGAGACGACTTCCAGAATATTCCCTTCAGGTGTTAATTACAGACTTGTCTTGGCTGTTTGTACATTAACTTTTCAAATACGTTTCAGGTATCTGAAATAAATAACCATCTCGTCTCAGATAGCAGGAAAGCATGCTTAAAAGGGGAGCAACTTGCTTTTATCGTCCTTGACTTTTCTGAACAATTTCCAAGGAAACTCTGGCTTCAAATACTGGAATGGGTTCATTCAACTGAGATCTGGGAGATAAAATTAAAACTGAACAACTTGCTTTTTCTTTCCTTGATTTTTCTGAACACCTTCCATGGAGACTTTGGCCTCGTACGGCGGGATGGGTTCGTCCAGACGAGGCCTGCGGAAGAGAGACGATCAGACAAGCAGACACAGGCTGGGCGCGGAGACCTGCGTATGCCATCGCATCACTTTAATGCGAACTTGTCCACTAGTGTGTCCACCATCAAAAGTCGTTAAGTTTTTTTTAATGTTTTTTGACTTAGAAACACTGATGTGAGCGAGGCGCGGGTGGCTGCCTCCTGCAGCCCCGGGAGGTGTCTCGCCCCCGATCCTGGGCACGTGCTCGGCGGGAACTGAACCCGCGGCCCGGGTCCCCAGGATGACGGCCAGCCGCGCCACTCAGGCCGACACAAGTGGTTACATTTCAAAGGGGAAATCAGCTCCCTCTTTTTGATAAATAGATAAAAAAAACTTTAACTTTTCCCGCTTCTCAAGCTGTATTTCAGGTTGCTTTGGGAGGGGCGATGAGGTAGGTGTGGAACGGAGTGAGGAAAACTCAGGGACACTTACTGGTGTGTCACCCGGAGAAATGCTAACGCTCTCGCGGGCTTGGCTGGGTGGACAGAGCGTGGGCCTGCGGACTGAAGGGTCCTGGTTGGATCCCAGCCAAGGACATGTGCCGGTTTCGGGCTCGCTATCTCTCCTTCTCCCTTCCTCTCGGAAATCAATAAAAAAAATGTTAGAGAAATGACCGAAACCTGTTTGGCTCAGTGGATAGAGCGTTGGCCTGCGGACTGAGAGGTCCCAGGTTCGATTCCCGTCAAGGGCATGTACCTGGGTTGCGGGCACATCCCCAGTGGGAGATGTGCAGGAGGCAGCTGATCGATGTTTCTCATCGATGTTTCTGACTTTCTGTCTCCCTTCCTCTCTGTAGAAAATCAATAAAATATATTTAAAAAAATGTTAGAGAAATGTTGAGGAGCAGCTATTTAAACAAAATACTAAAATATGGAGGCAATAGGTGTGCTGTGAAAGCTGAAACAAAAATGCCAGCCTTATCCCCTTGAGAACAGGAAAATAAAGAACAACAATGATTTGGTAATTCAGCGTACCTAAAAACACCAGTTGCTAACTTCTCCATCACATCTTTTAAGACACGTAGCTGGAAGAACAGTTAAGGTGGCAATGTGAAAGACAGAAGTTTAAAGAAAAGCAATCAGCCGAAGATGCTAGGCAGTTCACTTTTTAAAAAAATTTTTGTACTCTCAAAATTAAAAAATTGTTACAGACATTCTGTAAGCTGTCAAATTTCTCTAAAAAAGGGGGGGGGGATGGGAAATATGAGAGCGGTGGTAACGTAATAGAGCCTAAACTCCTAAAAACAAGTGATGACAGATGCAAGCCGACTGCCTGTCCTAAGGAATGACTAGGTGTTTTCCAAAGAGACGGTAATGGAACGGTGTCAGGGTTTCACTTTAGCCCCACTTATGTGACTTTGTTAAAAACACCACTTACTGTGGGTGCACATTCATTTACGAAATGGCTATAGACTCCAAATTTGTGTGCACGAAAGTTAATAAACTGTTTGTGTGACATATGCAACTAAGAGAGTCAGAAAACTAACATTTTAAGGAATCTAGTCATTTAATTGAAATTTGAATACTAGAATTGAGAGTCTATGATTCTATGTAATTGCACTGGAGAACTATTTATGATCGTAATTGGAAGGAGAACTCTGTTAAATCACAAGCAGCAACACCTGGGAGAGGCTTGCATAAGTGAGACTAAAGTCTGATTTAGGACTTGAGAAAATGTAAATTAAAAAATATGAACATAATACATTTTAAAGATTTAAGGGACCTAAAGAATATGGATTTTACTTATTTATACTATAAATTCTCTTTCTACTTCTGTTAATGAAATTGCCAACAGTAAGCATAAGAGAGAGTATTTGTGCCGTGTATTTTTGATTTTTGAAAACTTAACATCATTTCATTTAAACGTGTTACGTGTCAACATGGTCCATGGGTTTGTTGAATAGGTTAAAGTCATGTCTGGAGGGGAAGGGAGGGCAGCTGAGAGAATTAAGTGACAGGCTAAGCAGCCAGCCTGTATTATGACATGTAAAATTCAAAATATGCTACTACTTTTAATACATGTTGTTCCTCTGTTGTTAATACATAATGGTATTCTTGATTACTATAATGTCATTGGACATTTAAGTTGCTTTAAATTGAAATTCAAACAAAATTCTAGAAAGTTAAAGATTTAGTTTATTTTCTAAATTTAATAGGAAAATATTTAATCAGAAATAGTTTAATCTCATTCACTCGCTACATTAAGGGACTTTTCTGATTTGAAATGCGCTCTTTAAAACTCAACTACGCACACACTAAGGAAACCCTAACTGAAGGCTCTGCACCTCGGACTTGCTCCTAGGCCAGTGATGGCGAACCTATGACACGCGTGTCAGAGTGACACGCGAACTCATTTTTTTGGTTGATTTTTCTTTGTTAAATGGCATTTAAATATATAAAATAAGTATCAAAAATATAAGTCTTTGTTTTACTATGGTTGCAAATATCAAAAACTTTCTATATGTGACACGCACCAGAGTTAAGTTAGGGTTTTTCAAAATGCTGACACGCCGAGCTCAGAGGTTCGCCATCACTGGCCTGGGGCTGCCCTTGTACACGTCACTCACGGAACTGCACACTCTCAGCGCCACGGAAGGGAGCCAGCGAGGCCAGCATGGGGCTCTTCACGCACACGGACACTATTAAGTTACGAGAACTTATTTTTTACCCAATTTCTTAAAAATTTTACCCAGTGCAGCTGCCTTTAGGACAGTCAACTTAGAAATAAGGGGTTTATCTGTAAGTTCACCTTGCTCTAAAGAGGTTTGGACCTTTCTTTTGGAACAGCTTTCAGATTCTCATGAAAACTTTCATTACTTTTACTCAAACTAGAATGATTTGGCTTCCTTTGCCAGATTTGTCTCCGAG